ACCTCGGTTGTGATTAAAAAAAAAAAAAGTATTTTAAACTAATTTGTAGTTTCTCTCAATGTATATTTTTGCGCTTAACACTGCAAAGTCCATTAGGTACCTATCCATATATCCAGTATTCATAAGTTTTATAGTGGTTCATAATTTTATTTCCATATTAACATAAAAAATTCCTGGCTTTACAGAGTCAGTTCGCCATACAAAGCCACTATACATCACTTAGGTTTGTGCTGAAAGAATGGCACTGCAGCTGTGTGAGTACTAGAATACCCAAACATGAATTAGACTCACAAGCATTTGGCAATAGTTCAGAAAAGGAGCTTAATCTGGTTTCATCTGAGACTGCTTTTCTCTGTTCTGCAACATCCCCCCAAGATGTTGTGTCTGATATCGGATCACAACGTAATGGGAGTGACGCAAAATCAGAGAAAGCCCTAAGAAACCAGGGGCACATTTGCTTTTCTCTGGGGAATTTTTTCCCCCTCCTGCAACTTTTTTTTCCCCCTTCTCTCAGGTTCCAACTCTGCAATTCAAGGTCATCCACCTATTAGATGAATTAATTATAAGCCAAAAAGAAAAAAAAAGCAGCATTCATCGTACTCTGATCTCACTCATATCTATAATTAAGGGTAAATATAATCTTCCTTTATAGAAATGTACCACCCACCCATTACATTTAAAGTGCTGACTGAAATGAAATAATAGTTCAGAGCAAGATGATTTTAGTTTAACAAGAAAAAAGTTGATAATTTAAGCTTCAAGCAGTTCTATTTTTGATTACCATTCAGTTATAAATCTAATTTGAGATATATGCTGCTTTTCTGTTAACTCAAGTTTAATTCATGGTTTGCATTCTTGGTTGCATAAGCAAAGTTCAGTGGTTGATCAAGGATGTTAAGCTCCCTCTAAAAGGAATAGGGGAGCGATTGAGAATGTGCTAGGAAGACAGTGTGAGACCCAGATCTGATGTAAAACAAAACACAACAAAATTTAATGGAAAAAGATGTTCACATAATGCTGCATTTGGCATATGAATGGCTAAGTTAGGACTGGCTGTTTGCTGGAGAATCGGTTGCAGGGGTTGAGCCCCAAATCATGGTTGACAAAGTCAGTGTATTCTTTGGTTAGGGTATTTTTTATGTCTTGAAATTGTTTGCCTTTGGAAGAAAATAAGGAGTGAATAAGGGGGAAGGGCTTGTCTCATCACATGGTGGACAGTTAAGCAAAATGCTAAACTATGGGTTTAAGATTTACAGGTTAGCTCTGTGAGATGCCACATCTTGTTTCCAGTGTTTCCTGGCAGATTCAGGCAGCTTACTACTGGGACCCAGCATAACCGCAGAACATGAGCTTGCACAATGTGAAAAACCTAAAACCAATATAATCCTATTTAAGGCAAGGATGAATTTGCCCATTTGGAAAGTAGACTTAGTTTTTAAACTGAACTTTTATTAAGCATAAATTTGATTCAGAGCCCTATATGCATGTACATAAATTCATATTATAAAGGAATGCCTTGTATAGTGTTTCATTTACCTTAAATCAAATGCCATAAACTTTTAAAAATTCATAAACGCAAATTTTTTAGGCAGTGGAAAATTTTTTATCTTTCTCTTTGCTACAGAAGGTTAAGTATGTGACGTAAAGGCCAAACAATAGTAAATGGTCATTGTTCATTTTACAAGTATACTCTACAATAAGAACACATATATTTTTATCTTCATTTTCCCTAAGGGGGTGTTTAGGGCCCCATTAAGTGTGAGGAAATGTTTATTTTTGTTGCTTTAGAAGAATGATTCCATTGTCCAAAAGCAAAAGAAAAAGGAACAAACAGGTCTGAAAAGAAAGAAACAGGAATGTGCTTTGTGGGAAAAAGAGAAAAACAACCAAAAAACAAGAAAAAAGAACAGATCAGGAGCCATAAAGGTTTGTAAGTTCTATCTGTTCTTAGTAGTACTGTGTCACTGTCCATAGTTCATGTGGCTGCACATGCAATTGGATGCATGATTTATTTACAACTGGCCCATTAAATGATATGCTTTTAAATTCACAACAGTAAGGTCAACTACAGCCAGTTAGCTATTTTGTAGTTATCATTTTATATTTTTCACAGCTCTATTGTGAATGCTGCTAAAACCCAGTATAGCAAGTGTGTTTGTTTTTAGGTTAACCTATTTGAATGCATTTACTTTCTTGGGAGTGAAAACCTTTGCCTCCAGGACCAACAAGAATGAACCAATGGTTAAGCTAATTAAAAAAGACAAGCAAGCATTTCAACAAATTTGCTCAGCCCTTTTCTGAATATTCTGTATATACAATTTTTACAAAATGAGAAATGAATAGAAATTGTCTGGAATACAAAGTTATTATCAAACTCCTCTTTCCAATGAAATGAAGATTCATTTGTGGATTCACCAAACTGTGAAGGAGGTTGTGATTTCGAATCATTCACAGGTTTAGTGATGGAAATTTCAAAGAAAACCTGGACTGGGACTTAAATAAATATAGACTTTGTTAGCAAGAAATGCCGAGAGTGAAATTCAGGTTGGGATTCTAAAATTTGGATTGCCACTCCTAAAATGATAAAGAAATTATCTGAGGTTACACTGCTTTTAATATCTTTCTTAAACTCAGAAGAGGAAGTAGTGGAGCATGCAGATGTCAGGTTTTTATCTAGTAAATAATCTGTTTTTTATAAGGTATTTATATGGTAAATATTAAGACACTAGCAATGAATTTATTACTTAAAATGTGCTTTCAACCTGAAATCTCATCCTTGAAGTTTTATTTTAAAGTCACATTTATTATATATCTCTTGAAAAAGTCTGAAACTGGATTCAGTGAAGTCAAGCTTGTCAGTAGCTGGTTAGCCTTTATATATATCAGTCATCCAACGCTGACAAAAATCCCTCAGAATAGAGAGATACTCTTTATGATGTTTAGCTATATGGTGGTGGATAGGGGAGGTTTGAATTTTTGATTTTCCAGCTTATGGGTCATATTTGACCAACTGCTTTCACTGGAAGACATGCCACTTTGTTGAGCTATTTAGGAATCAAAAAGACTGTCTTAATTTAAAACAAGGACCCTTTGTTTTAGTTGGTGACTGCCTTGTGAAATTTTTCAGTTCTCAGCGGGTTAACCAGGGAACAGGGGCAGAGTCATAATTGGCCTATTTAGAGTATTTTGCATGTGAATAGTGTGTTAGTGAAGCATCCCTAAGTCTGTTGTGAGTGACATGGTGATTAGAATTTAGATTAGGGAAAACACATTCTGTACTTTATCAAGGACAGTAATTAGTTCAGTCAGTAAAAGTTGATTACAAGTAACGATAAAGTTAGATTTTTAGTACTTAATTTTAAAATTTCTTTATTAAACAGTAAATTTGTTCTTAATATAAATGGTACTATCTACTCCTGTTTTATTGCATATCAGAATAATTAAAAGAACAATGTGTTCAATGCAGAGTATAATCAGGCGATTTATATATTATGGGTAAGTTTCTATGTAGTTTTTAGAAAATGCAATATTATATAATCTTTCTTATGTCATCGGTTTTGAAAGTTTAATAATTTGTCACACTGTGATAAGTTAATGATATTTGTGAAAGTTTTCTGGTGTTCAGGTAAATGCTTTATCTGTGTGTGTTTTCGCTTCTGATGATCCTCCAGAGGGCATTCTGATGTCCTTTGATTTGTTCCTGTTAGCTTAGAATGCCTACTGTTTCTACAGTTTTGGAAGTTAGTGTGAGGATTCGAATTTCCTCTTGGCTCAGTTGGCATTTTCTCTTCTGTGGGTGCTGTGTCAGTTTGTGGGGGCTCATCATGTGCGGGTACAGAGAGGCAGGGTTCTCAGTGGAGTTGATAGTCTACACTCACACCCAGGGTGAGCGGCCGGGGGAAGTTGTGTGCGTTCACAAAATGAGATTCTTCTCAGTTCTTGTTAAGGAAGAGCATGAAATAGTTCCTAGATATGAGCCCGAGTCTGGAGAAAGAAAACATTAGTCTTACATAAATGCCATATATATATTTTTTAAATGATATGAAAGCGTTAGTCATCTTAAAAGACTTTAAAAATTGTTTAAAGGGAATCCTCATCTTCGTTGCCTCTTCAAAAGTAAAGAATTAAAAATCACAAACTTGGTGATAGCTTCTTAGACTGCTTTTCTTCCTGGTTTTTGTTTTGTTTTAATTGTTTCTGCTTAGCAGATGCTGTTTTCTTTATTGCGTTGGTTTAAGTACTCACAATCAGTTGGGGGGTGGTGAATGTAAAAAAAAAAAAATTAACCTTGTATGTTTGTTTTCCCTTTTTTTAACCTTTTAGCAGAGTCTCCTTGGAGGTGACATGGATATGGGCAACCCAGGAACCCTTTCACCCACCAAGCCTGGTTCCCAGTACTATCAGTATTCTAGCAATAACCCCCGAAGGAGGCCTCTCCACAGTAGTGCCATGGGTAAGGTACTCCTCTGTTTGAATGCCTGAGTGATTATGATTAGTCTTTATCTTTCTTTCTTTCTTTTTATAATACCACTTTCACATCCTACTCTCTCCCCCCCCCAAAAAAAAACCTATAAAATTTGGCCCAATTGTCAGGCAGGTGACCCCCCCCCCCAGTAGTACTCGGAGGGGGGAGTATGTTAACAACTTAGAGTAGCAGAACTTTTTTGGTATACGCTTATTTCTGGCTTGGTTGTATACCTAAGAAACTTTTAAAAAAAAAAATTAAAGCAATAAAAAGCTGAAAATCTTTATTTTCATGAACAAAGGAGAATTTGATTTCTGCTAGAATAAAAGGTGGTAGTGGTAACTACAGTTTGCTAAGATGATGATTTAAGGAAGCGTAGTCTAATCTAAATGCCTTCGTGGTTGAATATGTTTTAGTCAGGAAAATGAGCATGTGGGAGCTCACAGCATCTTCATTCTCTTTCAGAGGTACAGACAAAGAAAGTTCGAAAAGTTCCCCCAGGTTTGCCATCTTCAGTAAGTACTGCCTGTTTCTGCTTTGTATATTGTTTATTTTGTTCTGTTTTGTGCCGATGCAAAGGAGATAGAAGTAAATGAGATTCCATACTCCCAGAGCATGTTTATCTAGAAGGTGGATGAGGTAGGAATGACCTGCACGTCCAGCCGCCTGACCCACGTTGGCGTGATTAATTGCACATCCTGGAAGACTGGGTGGTTATGTTGATATTCAGCAGGTTAAGCTCTAAAGAGAGCCTTGAAAAGGTGCCTGAAGTTTGAGGAGTTTTACCTGTGCAGGGCTTTCAAGAGAATGAGTATTAGTTTCATGTGTTGGTTAAATTCTTTGTCAGTATTATGATGATTTATGGATTTGCATGCGAAAGGAGATTTGTGGAGAGGATTTAGGAAAAATTTACATGGGTTTCAGCCCAGAGTGCAGGAAGAATGTCTCTATTTTCTAGAGAGGTTGCTGAATAAAGGCTGCAGAGGTGGCTGCATCAGTAGCCGTTTGTGTCTGTAATACCAGGTGACAACTAGAAGAAGCCAGCTGTAACCAAAAGCATTCTGGGTCTTTTAATAGCTGGAGCTACAGGCAGGAGTTTCTGAGTCCCCTCGACCCCCCAGCACAGCAAAGTTGGTTGTGATCACAACCAAATACATGATATCTTATTTTGAATTCTTATATATATTTCCAGATTTGATTTCCTAGATAATTTTGCTTAAAATGTTGTTTAGCACTGGTCTATTTCTGGCAATTTTATCCTTCTGTAAAATAAAGATATGGTTTTCTCCCTTCTTTTTTGTTCCTATTTTCCTTCCTCCTTTTTTTCATTCTTCCTTCCTTCCTGTGATGTAGATAGAGAGTTTTAATTTCATTCTATAGGGTACTAAGTAGCCTTTGAAAAGAATGCTGATGAGCCTTATTTTATAAGTTTTATACATAAATAAAATTACATTTAGATTTCTGAAAGTATATTACCAATCAGTGCTCACCTATTAGCTGTATTTCATTTTTAATAAATTAGAAGAATAATGGGTTTTGCAAATGTGCTAAGATTAGATTAACCCAAACACCTGTGTATTTGACTTGATTTCAGTTCAGCTCATCCAAAAAATTATTAAAACGAATATATCAGAATAAGTCTTATCAGAAAAAAAGCAAATTTGCTATGCTGATTATCATAGACTTGGTAATGTTGAAGAAGCATCACAAAATTATCCATAAATATAGAAAAATATTATGTAAATAAAATTGCCAATGGGGTTTAAAAATAGTCATTTTGGGCTATCAATAAGTCACTAAATGTACTGAGTTGTTTATTCTTTGCATTTCTATGTTGTATTGAATTTGACTATTATACCCAAAGGTTTTTATAAGCATATTTTAAGCTTGAAGTTAGTGGTGGATTTAATTTAGATGAAACTTTAGTTTTTAATAGCTTTTATGACAACTTCAAATGATAGAATCCTCACAGCTGTTTGCATTTTAAACATGCCTGAATCTAATACGGACAGTATTAAGTACATTAAGTGGACCTTTGAATGTTCTGAAATGATAGAATAACTCTGTGCTATAAAAGCCAAGAAAAACTTCCAGCTATCATACTCTATGCCTCATATTAAAATTCATTTGTTTTTTTTCCAATGCTAAGATTATGCAGAGATCTACACAATTTCTAAGGAGTGCCTTGGTGTGGCACTAGATGTCATCTATATGCTTAATCATTGTCAACAACAATTTTTCATAATTCATTGTAAATTTTTAAGTATTTCCCTATAGCTAAGTGGCCCCTGTAAAAAAATTTTACTAGTACAGTTTTTTCTTTGGTTTATGTATTGCTAATTTGTTGTGATATGTGCAGAAATACAGAAGTGTCTTTCCTTTCTTGCCAGTAAACAAAACTTAGGAACTAGAGATTTAGTTTGTATTATATTTAATTTTTGGCTTTTAATGGTCAGCTTAGGATTTACTCTTCTTAGAGAATTTATCTTGGCTAAATATTTTAATGGTCCTTATGGAACATTTTGGTAAATAACCCTTTTCTTGAAACAGAGGGAGAATAAAAATGGAATATTTATCTTTTTTTTTTGAGCAAGGAAAATAAGATAGTTTAAGTAATTTTAGAATCCGATCATCCATTTACTCATTACTTAAAAAATATCTCAGCCCTATTTTAATAGCTTTAACTTAGTTTCTATTAGCTTTGTTACATTAGCTTTGTTATGTGTATTGCTCATTACTTATAATAAGACCTACATGCCTTACCACCACACAAAATATATATTTTAACTTGATTCCTGAAAGACATTCCATATTAGACACTATAACACTTTTGCCCCAGTAGATCTCTATTTTTAGACTCTGCCATGTGTATTCCTTTTTTAAGCTCAAATAAAATTATGACTATTCGATAAGAGATAGTTCTAAAACTTGTTTTCATGTGTGTAAGTATTTGTCTAACAGATACTAAAAGATTGGGGATAATAAGAGATTTCCCTTGGAGAGATTATGACTAGATAAAGACATTTATGTGTTTTATTCGATACATATTTACCATGATAAATAGTAATAAATCTGTCACAATCTGTTATAGCAACTCACTCTTTTCCCCCTTTTTGAATGGGCCATCTCTCTTCCCTTAGATAAAACAAAGAAAACTTAAAACTGTGACATTCCATGATCACATCTTATTTGTGACACCACTGTGGTACTGAGGCTGGACTTCTTTTGCCACCATTAGGCTGGATCTTCCCGGGCTATCAGGAGACAGAGGGGATTGCCTGGCCCTGTTTTGAAAACACTGCAGCATCTGTGGGAGAGAGAAAACATAAGCCTGGCCCGACATCATGCCATGGATGATCTGGCAGGATCCATGAATGTGTGTCTGTGCTATGTGCTGTGTCTAGAGACCTCAAGTCACTAGAGAAGCATGACACAGGGCTTGGGGTGCTGTAAGAACCATCCAGCAGGGTCTACAGACACAAGTGCAATGGCGGGAAGGAGAACATGGGCCTGTGGTTAGGGGTAGGGTGATTTTTTTTTTTTTAAAGAGGAAGCCTGTGTGAAATGACAGCTATCTAATTGCCCACAAGAGCTCTGCTTGTTACTGCAGAACATTTTTATGTTCTCTGTTCAAATTTAAGTATGTTGCTCTTTTGAGTCGCATCCCAATTTCTCGTAGCCCTCATCTTTTGAGAAGACTTCAGTAATAAATGGTTGTTTGTTTTTTTTGTGTGTGTGTGGATGCCAGAATGTATTTTGCGTGTGTAATCTCTTGAATCTACATGTGATCTTCTTGTTTTGTTAGATTTCTACATCTTGGTTTTCTATTTTAAAACATATTTCAGCTTAAACTTATTATTTTGCTACTTGACTGCTCATTCCAGCAAATTTTTTGCATTTAACCTAATAATCGTACACATTGAATCATGAATTCATACAGAGAAAAATGTACCACATTAAATTACGTTTTTGGAAAAAATGATTCATGATTCTTAACAGAAATTAACAGGAAAGTACTAAAGTCTAAAAAGTAGCAAAAAATTTTATTTTGTGCTATTTTTAGATATTTTCATCACACACACAGAAAAAAAAATTAAACAAAGATATTGTCTTTTGGAAACTTTACTGTGCCCACCAATATGTAAACACATAAAACTTTGACCTTCTTATAATTTGGAATATTTCACAATTATGTACCCTTTATTAGAAACTGTTAACTACAACCTTTCTACCTCAAACATTGGTGAGTTTGTTTCCATTTCATATGTGATTTGCAACTTTAATGATGGTCTTATGCTGACCCCAGTTGGGATGTCTTGAACTTCAGATTTCCCTGGAAATGTGAAGTTTTATTCTGAGAAATAGTTTATGGCCTTTCTTATCTCCAGAGATCTTTTCTTAAACCATACTTTTCAGTAAAGACTATTTTCTGTGTTAAATTTTGGCTTTTTTGTGTTTTGGTTTTTGTTTTAAAATTCAGGAGGATCTGGCAAGCTTTAAGTGGTCAGAAATGATCTTGGACACGTGGATCCTAAGGAAAACAATCTCTACTACCATAAAGAATCTAAAATAAGATCTGGCACTCCAAAATAATTTGAGACATGAGTTACTGAATGGGTAGATTTAAAAAATAAAAACTCGATGTATATTAGATACCAAGTTTATCAATTTTCATTGATAAAAATTGAATCAAATTAAACCTTTAAGTCTTTAATTTGATTCTTAAATCAAATTAAACCTTTAAGTCTGGATTCGAATTTCTTTTACAGAAGAGAAAACCCTTTTTAGTAGGGAGATCAGGAAAAATGATGAATGCTAATGGCATTAAGTGCCCTATATGTTTCCCATTCTATAATAATCCTCATATTTGAAGATTTCAAGCATAATCTTGAATCCATATCTTATGCTCTTTTGGAAATAAAACTCCCCCCCCCCACAAATGCTTAAAGAAATCACAAACAATTTAAAAGCGAAATTGGTAAATAGATTTTTTTTTTCTTATTAGAGGCCCAGAAATGATATATGATTGAAAAATTAGTACTTAACTCGGAAATACACAATTTCCCCCGTCACTTTTGAAATTGATCATAGGGAAATCAGAACCGTGCTTTTCCATGTCAACAAAATTTTAACTTGAGTAATCATATAGCTTTCTTTGAAATGAAATTTATATTAAAATATTGTGTCTAGCACAAGTGAACTATGCATCAGCTAGCTGGGCTCCATCCTGTGTAAGAAAGTCTATTAAGTCGTCGATCGTGTGGTAAGAAATAAAAGGAGGGGCTTCTTCAAGGTTGATTCTTGGATCAATAGGTACTTTGTGAAGAGGTATAATTGTAGGTGTTTAAATTAAAATATCAGGATAGCTTACGATACTCAACTTTAAACTTAGTGTGCTCATTTTGTAATTAAAGATATTAAAATAGGCTTAAGTATTAAAATTATGTTTATTAATTATGAAAATATATAGGCAAAAGAAAGGATATGGGTAGCACAGTGAAATCACCCCAAATAGAACAAAGCTATTATTCACACAGTTTACACAGCCTATATAACATGACGCTGGGGAACACCGTGAAAGAGAAAATATTCATCACAAAGAAAGTATTTATTTTTTTCTGCAGTTAATGCTGAATTTGCTAAACCAAAGGCTTCAAGTTCAGCATGTGTATTGTTTCTGTGAAAACTAATCTCATCTTCTCCATTGCATACTGAGGCTATAGAGGTTATTTATTTTTTTTTTTTTACGAATCACTGGTATATGAAACAAATATAGTAGGATCTCTATATTTGTTTTTCATTGATGGATCTCATCCCATTAAAAATGTTGCAAAACGCGCACAAGAGGCTTACAGATATTCAACTTATATACCATTGGACATTCCAATCTCCCAGAAGTTTACTGAAAGATTTTGGTATTTTTGTTTGGAATTTTGGAATAATGGGTTCCCTTGTCCATAGTAAAAGTGGGTGTAGTAGGGTGGAAATACTTTCTCCTCTTGTCTGCCTTCGAGCCCAATCTTGTACCTCTCAATAAGGTAGGCTTACCGGTGTGCTTTATATTTTAAATATAAAGAGAAAAGAAATTTAAGGGAGAGGATAAACACACAAGTTAACTATGGATAAGGCTTGTATATTTTCGAGCTATTCTTAGATTATCTTTACAGATGAAAAGGTTTGTATGTCTGAAACACTCAAACAAAAGACCACCACTTCATTCCTTCCACCAGAACAATGCCATCCTGGCCAGCAGTGTCACAGTTTTCTACCCAGCAGGCTCTTCTGAGGTGGTGTGCATCATACATGCCTCCCCTCCCCAGTGTTTGTTTTTATTTTTTAACCAAGTTTTCAAAATACTGTTTCACCTGCTAAGACTAATCCGGACTTTTGTGACAATTTTAGCAACTGGAACAATAGCATTCAGTGTCTAATTGGACTCATTTGTTGAGAAAGGAGAAATACATCTCAGTGAACTATTATTTTGTACCTGATTTTATCGCTTGCACTGAAGAGTATATTTTAGTGTGAAAGTTTGGATCCCATCTGAGTGGTTTAATTACTGAGAAAACTAAGAAACCACAGGCTTTACCTAGAGAGAATTACAACAGGGATTGCATGTATTTTGAAATTATAAATATTTGTTATGTAGCATCTCACTTAACTGTGACTTTATTTTATGGTTATGGAATAATATAGATGCTTGGCTTGATACTTGGTTGAATACCATTTTTTTTAACTTTATAATTTCATCGATTTAACCATTAGTTTTATTTTCTCACGTAGTGAAAGTTTCTCTCTTTTCCCTCCATGTTTATTGACAATTTGTACATTTTCAAAGTATGTTTTCCTGGTTTCAGACAATTTGAAAGTTTTTGTTTGAAAGTAATAAATCAGAGTCAGAATTTGGAGGGCTAAATAAGATTCTCTCAGAAAATGTGGCAGTAATCCTAAAAGAATAAGGAGTCTCTTCAAAAATAGCGAAGTTGTATTTCGTTAAGGCAGAATAAATACGATCAGGCTGTTGACAGACACCTGCTTTGTTTTTGTTTTATTTTTTTACATAAATTGCACTGAATTCTAAAACTGAATGTTAAGTTGCATCTCAAAGCAATAGCATGGAATTTTCAGCGTTGATTTCTGTCCACTGTCCTAAGGTGTGTTTGTGTATATGAGTGTGCTCATTCTAAAGGAATAAGAGCTTTTATAAAATGCAAAATTGTACTTTTAAATACTCAATTATTTTATCTCAAAATAGCAGCATGTGAATGACTTTTTTTTTAAGTTGCAGCTGCTGCATAGGTGTAGAGCTATTAGAAGAGTTTTATGCTTTGCTTGGGCATATACTCCCTCTTCAGAGAAGTTAAGGTAGTGCAGAAGAGTTTGCATTTTGTAAAATTTCAGGGTTGAAAATAAAGATGATTTACGTTTTAATGAGATGTATAGATTTCAATTCTGAAAGAATGTGAGAGTTATATTTTGAAAAGAACATTTTAAGAGTTATATTTAAGTAGGTTAGTGACACCCACTGTTGTCTCTCTTGTCTAACTTTGTCATGTAAGTAATTAATCATAAATATGCTGCTAGGGTTGAAACTTGAGATATAAGCACTTACTTCTGGAGTAATAAGAAGCAGTTCTGTGTGTGCCTTAAATTTCGTGAAATTTATTTTGATTATTCAGTGGAACCGAAGAATAGGAACATTTCCTTAGTGAAGCTTTCTTCATTAAACAAACTGTAAAGAAAATTTCTTGGTGTGTTGCCATATGTTGGTAGTGATTAAAGGGCATTGCCTTTGTGAAATGTGGACTCATATTAGAAAGACTTATATTTTCTCAGAAAAATGACCTTTGTGGTACATTTAATCATGAGAACTGGTGTCATTCCTCTCTCTCTCTCTCTCTCACACACACACACACACACACACACACACACACACACACACACACACAGTCACTGCTACCACTTGCTGTTACCATTTAGAGATTTTAGGAAAATGCTATTTTGGAACTATCATTTTGATGTCTTCTGAGAAAGAGTACCTAACTGTCTATAGCAACCTCCTCCCTCCCAACCCATATCATTCTAAATATGCCTCCTGGATTATACTTATAATAATATTGTAATGGCTTTCATTCTACCGATTGGCACAGTATATCATTATATCATTAGCTGCTATGAGAAAGCAGTTTCAAGTAGGTGACTGATTCTTAGCGTTAATGTTTTCAAGTAACCCTGTTTGGGGAATTGGGTTGTTTCACAGGTGCTCAGGTGTAGTAACACAGGGTATAATAATATTTTTTGGCTTGCTCATTATGAAATGAACTTGTAGTGCAAAATAATTCAATAATAAGTAGATCATAAAAACTGGGGCTCTATTATAGGAAAGTGTAATAACTGGAGATGTTAAAAGATGAGATAAAATATGAAATTTGTCTAAGGATGCAACAGTACTCAACTCATTTCTCATTACTACTAAAACAGAGATTTTACAAGAATGTTCATGGCCTGATGATTCAGACTCGTTGAATCAGTTTAAATTTTTTAAAGCATTAAACTAAGTAGAAAATATATTTCTGTAGCCATTATAGTATTTGAAAGTATTATTATATAAAAAGTTACAAATTCTGCCATTGAATACTAATGTGAAATTTTATTGCCAAAGCCTTGTGGTTCCTCATACAGGTACCTTTATATGAATTTTATTTTTAGAGTTATATAGGACATTGGCACATATAATCTGTGACTTAATTGAAATGGCTGGGCAAAAGAAAACAGAATTAAGCATATTTATTATGAGCAGATATAGTTGATATTTCAAAATTCAAACCCCAATAGGTAATTATTTTACAAACAAATGCTATTTTGTTTTTAGTAAATTATATCAACAACCTCTCTGTTAAGTGAAACCCTAAAAGTAACAAGCTAAGAGGAGCCCAGGTGGGAAGAGAAAAAGTATTTTCATAAGTTTCATTTATTCACTTATTGCTTTCTCCATTGATCCTTATTCAAGGCATATTTTTCAACTAAACTAAAAACTAGACACACCATGTAACATTGAACATGTCTTTCTCTTCAATATATTCTTACTTAATTTATGAAGCTTTACAACTAAGATTCTTCATGTTTAATGAAATGTGTAGTCTTATGTCACTGGGATTGCAATTTGCAGGAGTAACCTTAGTGTTTTAAGGAGCAGCATAACATCTGGCCTTTTAAGAAAATCCTGCATTCAAAAAACAAAATAACTCATACAGTAACAAATGGAATTGTTGTCCTTTAAGCTGATTATGGAGGTGCTTAGTCCCCTTAGTTGTCATCACCTTGGAGAGGGTAAAGGACATGTTTCGCGTACATCTTTTTTGTCCCATGGAAGCCAAACTCACTGCCTTACACATATATATGTCCAGTGCATGAATATATAGAAGGGTGGAAATAATACTGCCGTAGAAATAAAAAGACATTCCTAATTTAATGTCAGGATAAACTGTACTTACTCACAAAATGGCCTGAGTTAGTTCAGAAACCTGTTTCATTGTCTATAAAATAGGTATAAACAGTACATAATGTGATGGTGTTGGTATACTAACAAGAAAAACCTTAGCATAGTGCTTATTCTGTTCCGGGCACTGTTCTAAGCACTTTGCATCTATTAAATAATTTAATCATACAAAAATACTCTTTATTCATGGGTCAAGAAACTGAGACACAGAGAGGTGAAGAAACATGCCTGTGGTCACACAGCTAGTAAATGGCAGAGCTAGGATTGAGACCTGGGTAGTTTGTCTCCAGGTTTTCTGTGTTCTTAACCGTGATACTATTTGTGCTGTTGGCTGTTCAGTCCGAATATTCTGTAAACCAAAAAGCTCTCTACAGCATGGTTGTTGTTAACTTAGGTATACCTGTGTTTGACTATTTGGAATACATTAATTTTTAGAAGTTTTGTTTCACTGTGAAATGACCCTCAATACCGCTATATCGTAATAATGTACAACTTCTGCCCAAGCCAGATCAGTGAGGACAGGCAATTCAGGAGAGCATTTGTGTAATAGAGACAGTATAATGTAGTGGTTATAAGTATCAAATCTGATCAAGGTGTCAGTGCTACTTCCTAGCTATGTGTAATGCTTGCATATAATATCCTCAAATATTACATATTATTGTTACACATAATAATACTGATAAGCACTGTCAGTGCTAATATTAGCAACAAGGGAACTACTTTTCATTTGGCACTTGGGAAAAAAAAATCTCCCATGGCCACTTACTTGAGAGTAGATAACAGTAGAATAGAAACTAAGACCAGGTTCTCCGATTGCATGCAGAAGAATTTCACCTCGCAGAGCTCACTTGCTTTCTCTAAAATTATGAAATATTGCAAACAGCTTTTATATCTCTTCGTCTTTACAGCTACGTCTCCATGAAGCCAAGACACTTTGTCAGCCTTTCTAATCATTAGCCTGAGCTTTGTAAAGTTTATGTCACAAGTGCGTACTCCATCTTTTCTCTTTTGCAATGGGACATCAGGCCAAGATGCCCAGAGCTCTTCGTAATGCGATTCTCTCTGCCCAGTAATTTGTTTATGCTTAAATCAGCCCTGCCTCTAAGTGATAACGAGATAGATGCTTTTTCTTCCATTTTGTATCAGTGGGATCTCATAATAGGCCAGAGTGGTCCTCGTGAGTGCTGGACAGGGACACCTTGATAGGGCTGGCTCTGGTTCTCCGCAGAGAGTTGAAGGTTAGGCCCAAGGTTTCAACTTCATCCGGGAAGATGAAGATGTGTGGATGAGGTGGGTCTGTGTGGCAGTTTGTTTCTCTTATAAAGTAAAACAGAGTTCAGTTTGGGTAGATTTCTAACATTAAACAGAAGTATCTGTACAGATGTGTTAAGATAAAGTCAAAGAATGGCTGGATTCTAGCCTTTGACACATAGTAACATATCTCTGTAATTGTAATGATGTAATGTATTTTTTTATCGATGCCATTGCTGAATTCATAAAAGAAGAGGTGCTTTTAATTTTCAACTATGGGGAGCTTAAAATAATTTCTAGAAGGGCTGATTAGTTAACTCTTCTTGCATTTAAAGAAAAAAAAAACATCTGCTGCAGGTGATGGGTGGGAGGTGGGTGCGGAAGTGGGAGCGTGGTCTGGACCTTCCGCAATGAATGCCTTCTCCCAGCCAATTCTGTCCTGCAGAAAAACCAGGTCCCAAGTGAGAGTCTTCCTCGGGAACGGTCCCTTTTGGCTGGTGAGCCCTGAGCCTCTTCCCTGGTGCCCCCAAGCAGGGGCTTATGGGTTAGTTCACAGAGATAGAGTCTTTCTCTGGGAAGCTGAGAGATCTGATTTAGCCACCCCTCATTTGTAGTCATTGCCACCTTGTGGATTACAAAGGATATTGGTTTTCATCAAACTTCCACTTCAATTTGGCTTTTTATGGCAAGTACACATTGGCAGTGGATTGCTGTGTTCCTCACCAAAAGGATCCTCGTTTGTTCAGCAACACCTCACTTCTCCACTCACAGTTCATTTATGATTCTGATGAGAGTGTTTTTTCAGGAAACACACATTTCACTTTTTGACCTAGGAGCATCTGTTAGAATTTTTTTTTAATACTACTTTGGCATTCTGAAAGTGTTAATGTCTTTCATATCTGTTTAATGCTATTTAGGGATATTTATGATCACCTCTTGGTTACTCAGGGTAAAGTGTGTCGCAATTTTTTTAAAACAGACAGGAAAGCATTCACATGAGGAAACAGATTGCTTTAAACATGTGCTTCCTGTGACAGTAAAAAGAACAAATTAGATTTAACACTGTGTAATGAATGCATAAATGTGTACATTTAAGCTTTTAAAAGCTTTATGTTCAGTTCTGGTCACAACAAAAATTGAGTCACCTGTAAAAATTAAAGATGCCTTGGGTACTCTCAGACTCCTGCAATGCCCAGCAATTGCAGTCCTCACCTGATGAGGCCTCTTTGGAATCATAAAAAGCATTCTATATTAATGCTGGAGAGAACTAGACTGTTACGAGGCACATTCAGAGGTTAAACCAGGTTAGAGTCTGATCTGTGCATTTAGCAAAGAAATCAGAATATGCCGGGGAGGGGAGGATTGTACTATCATCTTCTTCCCTAAGAATCAATGTTAAAAAAAAAAAAATCCATTCTTCCAAACCCCAAATATTCCCGTCTTTCATGAAAGAAAAAGAAGAGAATCTGATGTTTACTTACTAGCATTTCCTACAATTAAATTATATAAGAAAACGACTCCTTTTCTTATGTAATTCAGTTTGTGCTCCTGTATGTTGGCTGGCAGGGAGTGCATAGAATCTGAGTTAATATTTCCAGTTAGACGCGAGTGTTGGATTGGAGGGCATGAATCCTCTCCCCAGAAGAGGCACTCATGGCCATTTCTGTCTGAGCCCTGCGGATGGTGCCTCTCCGTCCCCTGTGTTTTCAAAGCTAAGGATTTGTGGCACGCTCACCATCTCTCTGGCCAAGGAGGGCCGGGACAGAGTCCCTCGGGGGAGGGCATATAGTTTGAGGACATCTGACTCTCTCATATCGCATACTGAGGTACTAATATCAAAACAGACTGCTTGTCGTCGCACGGTGGGGCAGTGCTTTTTTTGGCTGCCGTGGTCGAAATGAAATGGGCAAGCTGTAGTCCGCTTGGCATCAGAATGGGCTAAGGGAAGCTGGGAAATCAGAGTCAGACTGTGAATGCGAGTAACAGCCAATGGTTAACTTCCTTTTTGTGTGTCACTTGGCAGCGATGAGACTGATGGCGATTTTTTTGTAACATGGGTGAGAGTTCAGTGCCCTGGGAAGAGCCGTAGACGCTGTTATTGTGCTTCCTCATACAGTTGACTTGTGTTGATTTCTTGAGGCCACTACAGCTGTTCCAAGGGCCAGCTCCAGAAGCTGTATACATGGCTGTCGGACGTCGGATGAAAAAGGTAATCAGATGAGAGGTGATCCCTACAAAATCTTTCTGCTGATCACTGAGGCAGTCATAAGGAAATCAGATGCTTGCAGAAGGCAGTAATGCCAAAGGATAATATAGAGTGCACTTGAATGGATACTCCCTTGTATGCAGACATCCAAAGATATTTTTAAATTATCACCACTCCACATCCCTCATCTCACATAAAAGATTCAAATCAATTTTGGACTGTCTGGAAAATGCAGGATTAAAATAGCCAGATTGAATTCAGATAAAATTACCTTCTGCTTTTTTTTGGGAGGTTGTTGCTTTTTGGTTAGCCACATTATTTTCTTTGAAGATTCGTTTGGAAGAGAGTTTGGGAGAATTTCTATCTAGCCTCTCTCAAGATTTTCCTCCCGTTTCTCTGTTTGCAGAGAGCTGTTCCCCAAAGGCGAAAAGAGCGAGTTGCCATCTTGAGGAGTGAATTGTATGTTTAGTGAACACCAAATGGTCTCAAAGTTACCCTAGAATTTTCAGTATATCTGGTTGCTTTCAAATACTGTTTATTCCCCTCAAAATTCCTTACCATTTGTTCAAGATATCAGTAAGATGACCAACTTCTGACAACCCCAAAAGCAGGGAAGGAAGCTTAGAAATAGAATACCATTTGTCTGGTAATTAGAGTGTATCTCTTAAGAGTTTGAGAGAATTCTGATTAACCTTTCTGTTCCCACATTCTCACATAAAATTAGCACACCTTTTAAATTATTATCTAGTATTTAAACACATATTTTTGGGCCTTCTTAATGCAACAGGTTCTGGAGACACTAAAAGTGTGTTATAGGTTTCTAAAAAACTTCATTTTTCTTACATTTTAAATGTTCTGTTTGTGCAAAATTTCGAGAATCACCATAAGGGCTTCTTTGCATTTTTAATTTAGTAACTAACATATGAATAAATTTGCATATTAATTAGTTGCAGATTAAATCATGCATACATAATTGCCTCCTTACTGTGTTTAATGTTTGTCAAAATCTCCAGCCTGGTTTGATGGATGTCGTATGAAAGATTACAATTTGATGTACCCTTGGAAGTATTTACACCAATAATGCAAGATTCTTAATAGCAGAATTCTCTAGTTATATACAGTTACTAATAAACATGTAAGATAGGTACATGTCCCTTTGACTAAATTTTTTTCTTTGCACCAAATCATTTACTATTCATAATCATTAATGCATCTCCTAATTATACAGCATATGTCTGTTAACCCTTTTGTTGCCAATCTTCAAGTGGTAGCTTCTTTCTTTTTTTGCCCCCTAAAGAAAGCAAATTCTTTGATAGTATTCTAAAATTACTCTTTGGCCTTGTACTTATTTCTCTACTAGTATATGGACACACACACCTCCTTTGCTATTTATTTTAACATACAATTGAGAATTATATGATCACTTTATATTTTCTATTTAAAGATCCAGAAATGACCCAAGTACATATGCTTTGTAGCTGATGGGTTTTTGCCTTTCTTTTACCAATGCTGAAAAGAATTCAAATATTTCAGATACTTTATATTAAATAGTAAAAAAAAGTGTGTGTATATGTATATATACATACATACCTATATGTATGTTCTATTTAAGAGGGTAATTGTAGGATAAGCAAAATTATTTAAATTGTATTTGATGTCATTTTGAATATTGTAATATATTTAATATATTATGAAATATAGAATGGATATATATGTGTTTTTTATGTTAGGACTGAGATCTCTGTAGTCTTAATTTGACATAATTTAAAAATGCCAATAAGTATTCTCAAATTAATTCCTCAAGTATTTAATTTTTTAAGTTTTATTTTATCCATGGAAAAAGTAGACCAACTGGCTTTTTTTCTTTTTACTATTTTGATGTCTAAGCTGCTTATCACACTGTATTACCCTGCATTAATGAGTATTCCTACTGTGCAAAATTCTATCAAAAATGATGGTGTGAATGTCATTTTTAATTGGAAGTTTATACAGTCAAATTTATAGTACACAACAAAAAATATGTATGTAGTTCTGCTCCAAGCCTTTTTTAGGCTTTTGATCTTTTTGGTTTAAGTGTACATTTTTATCAATCTAACTTTAAATTTAGTTTGAGAATCTGGACAAATATTATTAAATTTGTATTAATACCATTGTTGGGAAGAGGGGGAAACTAAGGCACAGGATAATTATAATGTCTTTTAATTGTAGGGGGAACAAATATAAGAATTACCAAGAATAGATATTCAGGGATCCCTTTTAGACACGAAAATTTACTGACTAAAACCTGCTGACCAATTTTGTGTGTTCCACAGAAGTCATAATATCTGATTTCTGTCTGTTTTATTTTTGAATGCCTTGCATTTCGATGCCTGGTAAAAAGACAAAGATTCAAATGATTCAAAAGCATAAACAGCTCATTTCCTTTATTTGATTCTTACATAGGAGAAATAATACCTCCTGGTCGCCTACCTCAGGAACCTTTTTTCCTAATCACAAAGCACAATGAACTATTTATTGATTTAACAGAACATTCTTTTGCAGCCTGCGATATTTCATTAAATTATTTAGCAATGTGAAAAATGAAATGAAAGCTGCAAAACTTATAAAAGGAAGCAAACAGTCAGACCCGAAACATATTTATCCACAGCCATTGTGCCTAGGTAATTCAGGGCATATGGTATGTAAATGATATTTGGAGATCCTTGCCAAATCTACACACGATGGGATAAATTAAGGACAGGTTTCCCTGGGTGTAAGTCCCTTGGCTGTGGCCGGCACACTCTCTGCTCGGATGTGTGTGTTCTCTTCTTGTCTTTCAGCAAGAGCATCACACAGTATTCACTGGCCAGATCTGGTCCTCAGCCGGCTCCTAAGACACTCTTTACAATTCCCAAGACTTGATTTTATGATTACATTTTAAAATATAGTACCAATTTGCCAAACCTCCCCATTGATCCCACATTTGAAAAGTAAGATCTGAATAGTTTATCAGTATATTAATGTATGTGGATATTAAGCCATTTAAATGGGTATCTTTGACAGTGGAGATTGAGTGCTTCTTAGTCACTGAAGAAAGGTGTTACTAAGTAGTGACTTTTTTCTAGGTTAGGATTAAGATGTTTTCTGGAACAGACTGAATTATTTTGAACAATTAATAATTTTGGTCTTGAGTTAGCCCAGTCATAATTTATTAATTCAATTTGATAACTCAGATTACTGGTATCACTTATTTTTGAATTATCATTTTGAAATATATGCTCTCATTTCTAGAAAGGTGAAGGCACTCTCCCCTTCTTCCATGTAAAACTCATTTTAAGTAGGCAAGAGGTTATGCTCTTTTCTTTTTTCTGAAAGGAATTTCTTTTCTAAGCTGGAGATCTTGGCCCATAGTTTATAATGCTTTAAATTAATGTCCATTTTTACTTATCTTGGAACCATGTAATTGGAGATTTTGGTTAGAAACCATGGCAGATCTTTTTCTTCTGTGGTAAATTATGCATTTACTGTGAAGACTGAATTATGAATATAAGACTTAGACATTCTTTATAGAAGTTATTTCAGGGTATTATTTTAAGATAGTAGAGTATGATTTAGTATCTTTTATTGTTTTAACTATGAAGAATAATGCTTTTACTGAATAAAGCTTTTATGGTTTTATTTGAATTAGAAGTTTAGGCCCTGTCTCTACTAGTAGCATTTTATTTATGGAACACAAGTAACATGCTAGTTACTCTATGGAAAGTGAAATTAGGCTCAGTCCTTGACTATTGCTGAGCAAATTGGGTAAAATCAGAGAAAAAAAAAATACCCTTGAGATCAATATCAGTCAATACTATTTGACACAGATCCAGCTTAAAATTCATGAAAGTGGCTGTGGCTCTAGGGGAGTTCATGTAGTTCTCCTGTAGCCTGCAGTTTGGGAACTCAAGGCAAAGTTCTGAGCTGGTTATTCTGGGACCATCCCTTGGTTCATTGAAGCTACTTTTCACAGCTGTGCTTCGAACTTAACAGCAGAACGAAAACAATAGTCACTGGAAATAAATCCCGGTCTGCCTTTCAACTTTATTGGTAACTTGCAGCCTTGAAAACAACAAAAAGGGTAATCACAGTGAGGTTACAGAGTCCAGATTGGATGTGTTACATGGTAGGGTGGCATGGCCCAAGTTTACTTCCATGGTTTAAGCACCGTGAATGCCAACATGTTAGCAGCATAGCCACTTACCAAGATTTTGGTTTTAAATGTCAGTCATTGGACCACATTTGAAATGAAGCACCTGCATTTTACTGAAAGAAATTAAGTTAATTGGGAAACGTGGAGGTGAGTTAAGGGTTTTTTTGTTTTTGCGGGGGTTGTTTTGGCAAGAGCCATACACAATAAAGATAAAACATCTCAAGTAGTAAAAGTCTATTGTCATGCACTGTATGATTCAAAATGACTTAGCAGTTTTCAATTTTTTTAAAAAGAAAAGAATATGAAGAAAGAGATAAATGCAATTTGCATCTCTACAGACAACTCTGCATAGCAAATTTAAGGTTCTATCAATTTCCTTACAAGCATCTGAAAATTAGGAATTGTAAAGGAAACTTGGACAGATCCTTAACTGTTGCATTACTACCAGGTGTCTGTATGATGTCAATAAATTAGGAAACTTTTAATAATAAAAATTTGAATATACGCTTTCAGACAAAATATGTCCTAGTTAAGAATGCTGGAAGTGTATTGTTGTAATTGTATATACTCAGTGAATTTTTGCTAGACCTAACCCAATAAGCTTGTTTCATAAATGATATGGCTTCTGTGTATTGAGATCTTAAGTGTGTTCGAACCAATCTTTGCAAAATATTAGTGCCTAGAATTCTAGTCCACAAAATTCGATTCATCAAATATGTATGTCACAGCGGTAACTGGGTTTAGAGAGTATAATTTCTACCATATTATCAAAAGGAGTCTGCATCTTCTCAAAAGTTGAGAAACCCCCTGATGTCAGCCAGAAGTTTTGTGT